CGATTCGCCGCTCCGACATAGTGAAGTTCGGATGGGGGGAGGGCGCAAGGATCGCGCGCAGAGTAAAATGCAGATTGACTTGGCCAAGGATGTGCCGGTGCCCAGCAGCGAACCGGGGTCGCCGGTGCCCAAGAGAGAGCCGGAAGACTTACTGCTTGGGCCTGCCAAACGGACAGCCGCGAATGCAGGCAGCGGGAGTGGGACCGTCACCCTGGAGATGAAGGACCTTGAGCAGCTCCTGTCCCAGCACGCGGAGCGCATTATGCAGGCACAACATGCCCATCTCGAGGCTAGGTTGGGAGGGCTTGAGGAGGTTATCTCGAACAGAATGGGGGGTGCGGAGGTTCGGCTTGATGCGGTCGAGAACAAGGTTGACAACCTGGAAGCTAGGCTGGAAGAGCTAACCAAGGAGCTGCGAGAGAGACCGGCTGGTCAACAACGTCACGGACCGGATTCAAGGCGGCTCACGCTGCTGTTCGGGGGATGGCCCCGGGACAGCCGACGGACCGACATCTTAGGCGGTTTGGAGAAAGCCTTGCATGCCCTGGACGTCAAGAAGCACCTTGACAATGATCCCTTCTGCACGGGACCGCGTAGGTCAACAGCCTTGGCGGCCTTCGAGCATCGGCAAGGGGAGAGTGAGGCTCAGACGAAGCGGAGGATGCATAAGATCGTGCAGGCGGTCGCGGAGAATGAAGTTAAGCTTCCGGGGGGGCGTCGCCTCTTTGCCACCTATGCTAAGACGAAGGAGGAGCGGGAGATCGCAGGACACTCGGCATGGATCAAGCGCATGGTGGCTGATGTTGCTCCAGGAAAACTGGATCAGCTCGATCTGGAGTACTCCAGCGGAGGCGCATGGCTCGGGCAATCCTTTGTCGCCAGCGCAAAGGTTCCACTTCCCCCTGGGCTCCATCCGGATGACATCGTTTGGGATGAGGACAAGGATTCGCGGCCGTGGGTATGGATCTCAGGGCTTGCTAAGGAGCTGGGGGTGCCAGGGCAGACGATCAGGGAAGGGCTCCAGGGCCACAGACGCTGACCTGACTCTCAACCGGAAGCTGGTGAGTTGCATGAGAATTTGCAGGCAATCTTTCCGCTCTTCGCATGGAACATTGGGGGTGTCTCGGTTACCGATCACTCCCAAGCAGTTGCAGATATTGTGGGAAAATTGCCGCAGGATGCATTGGTTTCGTTTCAAGAGCTTGCCCGAGAAGAACCCGGGTGGCACACCTCGATAACAGGGTCATGGACGCTTTTGCAACACCGTTTCCCGGATGTATGGAGAGGGACGGGACTTGCTTTCCGTGGAGAGTGTTGGAGGGTCATGCGCAAAAAAGCCTCCAGTCGTGGCCTTTGGCTGCGGTTGAGACATGCACAGGGCTTTCAGGTGTGGGTAGGAACAGCACATTTCACTCCCGGCTGCACACAGGCGCAACATGCCAAGGAAGTTTCGGACCACCTGGCGGTGCTTCCGCCAACCACACTGCCGACGTTCCTCGCCAGTGATCTCAATGCAGAGTTGGGTTGGGGTTGCGATGAGCAGGGCACCTGTAGGGCAACGGGCAACAATGGTAAGACCTTGGAATTCTTGGGACAGTGCATGGGCCGAGGACTCCAGGCTGTGGCTCCCCCACCTGAGGACTACCGAACACCGACTAGCCGGCCCAGGCAGTTGCACCGACGTGGCAAGCAGATTGACTGTGTCGTGGCAAATGCAGGATCACCAGGGCCTTTGCGGATCTACCGGGACTCTTGTCTTTCTTTGGGTACGGATCATGAGCTCATCTCGACCACCATCACCATTCAGACATCCATGGCAGGCACAAGATTCAGGACACAGCCCAGGGTTTGGACGGGTGGCCTCTCTCGCTTGGATAGTGTTACACAACAAGGGTTGAGTGAACTTGCGCGGCAGCACTCCCGACCACGGCCAGGCCGTGCCTACGTGGACCCCGAGGAGGTGAAAATGGCCTTCAGGAGGGCCAAGGCTGCTAGAGCACCGCGCCTGTGGGTTGTGGCTAGGGCACTTAGAAAGAAAGCGAGAAAAACCTGGGAACAGGAGAGGCTCGAAAGAGCCACCGCAGGTGATTGGATGGAAGTCAGAAGGCTCAGGCCGGTTCAGCACGTGGGCTGGGACGTCGAGTTCGCAGAGGCTCAACAGGGCAAGGACCCTCATGAGGTCATACACCATCACCTACAGGGCATTTACACTACAGGGCTGATTATACCCCCGGAACCTGCTTGGGAAGGACCCATTGAGCCCTTCACGGAGGACGAATTGCAATGGGCTATCGGGCAGGGCAAGCCCAACAAGGCAGTGGGGGTGGACGGAACTAGCCACGAGCTCCTCAAGGGTTTGGTTGAGGTTCCTGGGGGCCGGCAGGCACTCTTGAAGTTCTACAATGATGTGTATCGCGATGCCTCGGTCCCGGCGGACTGGAATACGGCCTTGATGATAGTAATCCCCAAGGAGTTGCACCCTACGGAACCGGGCAGCCTGAGGCCAATCTCCATGGGCAGCGCTGCGGCGAAAGTGTACAGTCGGCTATTGTTGCTGAGAACGGCACCGTGGCTGCAGGCGGGCGAGGGGGCTCAATGTAGTGGACCAGGCAAGCAACCAGCAGAGTACCTTTTCGGGATGGCTAGGGTTATGGACCTGGAGGCGGAATGGCACAAGGGCTTGGTGGCGGCTAAGATTGACATCCGAAAGGCCTTCGATATGGTGCACAGACCAGCGTTGCTGGCTAGACTCAAACAGGCAATTGGGGATGGGCCAACATATCGCAGCTGGCATGCCATGTTGTGCGAAACGGATGCTGTACTCTCGACAGGATGGGGGCAATCGAGACTTCAGCTTGACAGAGGCATTAAGCAGGGTTCGGTTGAATCGCCCATCCTCTTCGGATGGTTGGCTGCCTGTATACTCAGGGACACTAAGAATGCATGCCAGTGGCACAAGAGACCCCAGATTTACGACCAGCTCGATTGCCAGGAACTACTTTTCATGGATGATGGCCTGATCTGGGATGGCACCACGAAGGAGATCTCCAGACGACTACAGGAGTGGGCGGACACACTTAAGCACCATGGGTTGTCTCTCAATCCCCGCAAATGCAAGGTTTACATGTCGCCGTACAGTAAGGACACAGGGCAGGTCAAGGTGGACGGGGTTGAGGTCCCGGTCGTCGCGGTGCTGGAGGTCATGGGCATCCCCTTCAGGGTTGGGGCCAGTCCGTCGGAACTTATCTCGTCACTGCTGTCGCGTGGCAGGGACAAATTCTGGGGGCACAAACACCTACTAAGAGCCAACACCCCGCTGGCAGGGCGCATCCGACTCTTGGACAAGATTGTCGGTGGAGCCGCGCTGTGGTGTCTTAGCGCCATTGCCCCGGATGCCTCGTCGCTTGCGATTATCAACAGCCTGCAGTTACAGTGCGTCATGTGGGCTATGAAGGTAGGCAAGAGGGCTACTGAGGGTTGGCTGCAATTCAAACAAAGGGCTTTTCGTGGGGCGAGGCAGGTCGTCTGGAATGTGCTTGGCAAACGATGGTCTACGATATGGCTTGAGCGATATTGGAATTTCGCTGGGCACAGGGCTAGAGGGTTGTACAAGGAGGTCGTGCCGAGCTCTTCGAAAATCGACAACTACAAGAACAGGGTGTGGTGGCTTAATGAGCAGCGCAAAACACGAGGGGAGCGTCACCCGAGGCACTTCCCCAAGCTCAGCAACATGGAACGCGATATGGACCAGGCCGCGGGGAACCTGCCATGGAGAGAAGTCGCGAGGGATAGGGAAACTTGGAAGCAGAGGCTCGCACACTGGATTGCACTCATGGACCTGCCGTGGGCCAGTGGAAGGCAACTAGGGGTGCAGGGTTGAAGCTGGATGCGCATTGCTGAAGAGTGTGAAGGTGCACCAAACCTGAGTCTTTCGCAGCGCGCTTTGGCTGGAACTCAAGAGCCCTTGCCCGCAAGTCTGAACTTGGTTCAGCAACATGTTTCGAGTGCCTTTGGCCTCTTTGATCGCCGGGTCACTCCTTTGGGACCTGACCGTGGCCTCTTACATAACCCACTCCATATTGCCCATGCTGCCGTTCCACCTGCTTGACGCGGTGGACAACGTCGATGACGACGACATGGGACCCCACCCCTATGACTCCATCCTTGCGGATGATACCACTTTCATGCAAGCACATCCGGCCACATGGCAGACCCTCATGCAGGAGCTCTATGAGGACCTGGAGGGCTTCTCCAAGAACGACAGGGCCCAGGCTGCGTACCACCTGCTGCGATGGCTAAACTTCCATGCCACAAACACCAACGAGGGTTACTTCCTCGGCCACATGAAAGGGCAAGTAGCAGATGTCACAGCTCTGCTGGTAGTGGCCTTTGCGGACACGGGCATCCTGGAGAACTCGTTGGTGGGCACCTGGCCTTCCTCTTGGGTGCTGCAGATGAGGACTAAGCTGCGCCGCTTCATTCCTCGTCATGAAGGTTCCGACGCTAGCATGGGCCGGCCCATGCAGCCTGGGATGCCATGCATCATGCTCCACTACGGCATCCCTCCCGCGGTGACCCCGGAGGACTCACCGATCCAGGTTGACGAAGCTGAGGAAGGGCTGGGACTGGAACGACCGGGCAAAAGAACGAGGACAGGACAGCTGGTAGTGGAGCTGAGCTCGGGGTCGGGCGACGTGCCTAGGGTCTCGCGCACACTCCGCCTGCCACTGGTGGATGGCAGGGCCCATCTCCACTTCGACATACAGCTTGAGGAGGACGAGCCAAGCGATGCGAGCACCACAAAACACTTCCGCCTACAGCTCGGGGAGGACGAGCCAAGCAATGCCAGCACCACATTGGTCCCAGGAACAAGCACTGATGGCCGACCGTCCTGGCCGGCGGAGACTGGGATGCAGGCGGCCTTTCAGCTGCCGCAACCTGCGCCGGAAGCACTCGCCAGTGCAGGACTCTCCAGGAGCGACTTGTTGCGCATGTGGGCAAGATGGAGGGCAGGGGAGCTCCCTCCGGCAGAAATACTCCGAGTGTACGGACCGGAAGCAGCGGACTATGTACAGAGGCACTGGGAACACCTGCCCAGAGAGGACACTTGCCACCCTGAGACCACCAGCAACCTCCCCCCCGGAGCTCTACAACCAGACCATGGGGGAGCAAACGGACAACCAGGTGAACCACCGGGAGACCGACGCGGCAACGAGGGACCATGACCACTACGGCGACCAGGGGACCGAGCTCCACGTGTGTGAGAATGTCTTCGCAGAGCCCGTGAACGAGCACCAGGAGACCGACCAAGGGCATGGTCCGACTCAGGCCTGTGAACTTCAAGAGGTGGTCACAGGGCGGACCAGGGACGCGGAGGACGAAATAGAGGGTCGAGCAAGTGATGCTAGCATGCGCGGGGATGATGTGACCAGCCTTCAGCAGACCTTCATGTGGGTGATGCCTGCCCTCCTTCGGGCACCGGAAGTACCGGTCATTTGCCAGCAATCCACGTTGCAGCTTGCTGCTCCGTGGCTGAGGTGGCTGCTTCGCGAGGGCTTTGACAACTGTGTGCTCACCACGGCCTTGCTTCGGTTGGCACAACAACGAGGGTCGACGGACTACATGGACGACTGGGGGGACATCCTCATCGAGCTCCGCCTGGTGCCGGAAGGAGACATGAGCCTGGACCAGCTCTGCAATGAGGACGTGATGGGTCTGCTACGTTGGATTGAAGCGGAAATGTGGGATGACTATGTGGATCGGCTGGAGGGACTGGTCGGCTGGGAAAGCCACGAGGTGCAGATGGCGAGAGACCAGGCCAACATGGATGCGCATGCAAGGGACCGGTGGAGACAACGAGCCCTACGCGGTCAATATGCCCAACCGGAAGGAGACGTAGCGGCCCAAGAGCACCCAGGGGATGACGATGCCAGCAGTCTCATGGAAAGGGGCAGAAGACCGGGAAGAGGACGTGATGATCGTGGGCATGGAGAGGACAGCTGGGAGGTACCTACCAGGCGCACAGGTCGAGGCGAAGTACGTACAGGAGCTGTCCCGCGATCCAGAAGTAGGGGTGGCACGCGAGCTGGTCGGTGCACTACGGAGGTGCGCCGGCTGGAACCTCGCCGAACACCGGCACCCACGGGGACACCTGCGAGTTCTTCCGCTGAACCGGCACGACCGACTTTGGCGCTGGACGAGGCTACAGCGCTTTGGTTGTATCACTTGGGATTGCGTACCACGGTGAACCCGCGGGATATTGCCTCGGCTTTGGACCAGGAAGGACGCCAGGAGCGCCTGGACTGGATCCGCACGCTGCATGCGGTGGACATGCCTGTGATCATGGCTGGGTTGATGAGGGTG